ATCAACGGCAAAAAGAAGACCTTTCTCTGTCTCTCTCTCTCACTGTCCACTCTGCCTGTCAAAAAAAAAAAAAAAAAACTAAAGGTGTTTTTTAGAAGGGATACACATAGCTCTCAAATTTAAGACTCTCCCCTTACTCCAATCCAAGGGTAAAGGATTATGGGCTGGATAGCTGGGTTACTTCTAACTATCGTTTTAAAACTTAAACTTAAAGTAGGCTCCGTGGCTCACTTGGTTAATCCTCCACCTGCGGCTCCAGCATCCCATATGGGCATTGGGGTTCTAGTCCCAGTTGCCCCTCTTCCAGTCCAGTTCTCTGTTGTGGCCTGGGAGTGCAGTGGAGGATGGCCCAAGTGCTTGGGCCCTGCACCCCATGGGAGACCAGGAGAAGCACCTGGCTCCTGGCTCCAGATCGGCATAGCTCCTGCCATAGAGGCCATTTGGGGGGTGAACCAATGGAAAGTAGACCTTTCTCTCTATCTCTCTCTCTCACTATCTAACTCTTATAAAAAAAAGAAAAGAAAAAACTTAAACTAGGTGCCGGCACTGTGACACGGAAGGTTAAGCCTCTGCTTGCCATGCTGGAATCCCTTATGGGCATTGTTTCGAGTCCCAGTTGCTCCACTTCTGATGCAGCTCCCTGCTAATGCACCTGGGAAAGTACTTGAGCCCCTGGACCCACGAGGGAGCCCAGGAAGAAGCTTCTGGCTCCTGACTTCGGCCCAGCCCAGCCCTGGCCTCCCTGGCCTTTGTAGCCATTTGGGGAGTCAACCAGCTGATGGAAGATTTCTCTCTCTCTCTCACCTGTATCTCTGCCTTTCAAATAAATAAACCTTTAAAAAAACTTAAAGAACATTTTGTACAGTTCGATATGCTTTTTTAAAAAAATAGTTTTGCTGCCTAGATGCAGAATGTTCAAGACTGTATTCGTGCAATTCTACATAGCTGTGGTGCTCCAGCTAAGAGAGACATAACATCCAAAATGAGTTTCACTGAAATCAGATGAGAGAACTTTCTGGGCCCTCCCCTTTGTCCCATTTGTCTGATAGGGCACTAGCTTCTTTTTTTGCTGTTGTTAAAGATTTATTTATTTAGCTGAAAGTCAGAATTACAGACAGAGAGAAGAAGAAGCAAAGAGAGAAAGAGAAAGATCTTCCATCTGCTGGTTCACTCCCCAACTGGCCACAACGGGCGGAGCTGTGTCCATCCAAAGCTAGGAGCCAGGAGCTTCTTCTGGGTCTCTCATGCAGGTGCAGGGGTCCAAGTGGAAGTGGAACAGCCAGGACTCAAACCTGCACCCATATGGGATGCCGGTACTGCATGCTGCAGCTTTACCCACTACACCACAACACTGGCCCCAAACACTAGCTTCTTAAATCAAAATAATTTCCCATGACGGGCCATAGTGGCACGGCAGTTTAAGCCACTGCTTGTGCTGCCTGTATTCCATATGAGAGTGAAGTCTGGGCTGCTTCACTTCCAGTCCAGCTTCCTGCTAACATACCTGGGGAAGCAGCAGATGACGGCCAAGGTCCCTGCTACTCACGTGGGAGTCCACGATGGGGTTCCCGGCTCCTGGCTTCAGCCTCACCAAGACCTGACTTACCAGCATTTGTGGAGTGAACCAGCACATGCAAGATCTTTCTGTCTCTCCCCGCCCCTGTCCCCCTTGAACTATTGTTTTGTATTTTAAATAAAGAAATCTTTTTGTAGATTTATTTATTGGAAAGGCAGAGTTACAGACAGAGACAGAGACAGAGGCAGAGACACAGATCTTCCATCTGCTGGTTCACTCCCCAGATGGCCACAATGGCTAATTAGAAGCCAGGAGCCAGGAGCTTCTTTTGGATCTCCCATGTGTGTGTAGGGGCTGAAGCACTTTGGCCATCCTCTGCTGCCTTCCCAGACACATTAACAGGAGCTGGGTTGGAAGTGGAGTAGCCAGGACTCCAAATGGCACCCATATGGGATGCCTGAGCCCCAGGAGGCAGCTTTACCACTATGTTACAGTGTCAGCCCCTAAAACTCTTTAAAAAAATCAAATGCTGAAAAATCTCAGTTGCTTTCCTAGTGTTTCTTTTGGGTACAAGAAAATAAGTGAATGGTAGTGGAAATTGAATCTGAAGAAGAGAATGAAGGTGTGAGGGAGAGGAGAGGAAGAGTGAGACAGCGAGTAAGGGAGCAAGCGGTGGTGCTGTGGCGGCCGCTTCAGATCACCTGTGCTGGGGTGGGCAGGCTTCTAAATCCGGGGAGGCACAGATCTCAGTGAGTGAGGCAAGCACAAGATGAGAGGACGCACTTCCTTCTCTCATCCGCAGAGTGTATGTGATGGTGATGATGATGGAGATGATGGTGATAGTGATGACAATGATGATGGTGATGATTTGTTTAATGTAAGAAAGGAATGTCAAGGAAAATATTTCTGTTCCACTTTGTAGAGGGAAAAAAATATTACATAGTCTTTTGGAGAATAAGTCCAGTCCTCTGCTAACAAAGTCTCAAAATAGAGCAATTGTCTTCTCTCTTTTAAAAATATTTATAATAAGGGAAATGAATTTCATGGAATTCATATATGTGGTTTTAAGAGCATAATGAGGAGACCTGGAAGAAGCTCCTGGCTTCACATTGGTGCAGCTTCGTCCATTGTGGCCAACTGGGGAGTGAACCAGCGGATGGAAGACCTCTCTCTCTCTCTGTCTCTGCCTCTCCTTCTCCCTCTGTGTAACTCTGACATTCAAACAAATAAATAAGTAAATAAATAAAATCTTTTAAAAAAGAAGAGCATAATGATACTTCCCATCCTACCCTTCCTCCCTCCTTTGCTGCCACTCTTCCTCCTAGTTCCTCTCTAATTTTTTTTAAATTTTTACAATGACATACATCTAAATCACTTTATAATCACAACCTCAACCCTATACTAAATAATTCTACAAGAAGTAAGGAGAAAAACCACTGTTTCTCAACGGAATAGACAAGGGCTATAAACAATAATCAAATATCAAAATGTCCATTTCACTTCAATACATTAACTTTTAGGTACTCTATTAGTTATCCTTGATTAGGGGTCTTTTGGGACTGGCTTATTGCTCTAAGCATAATAGTCTCCAGTTGCATCCATTCTATTGCAAAAGACAAGATTTCATTCTTTTCTACAGCTGAGTAGTATTCCATCATGTGTATATACTACAATTTATCCAGTCATCCATTGATGGACATGTGGGTTGATTCCACATGTCAGCTATTCCTCAAAAGACCAGTTTAAAGAATTCCTCCAAAACCATTGCATTGCACTTGGCTTCCTTCACTGTCCTCCCCAACAAACCCCAATCCTGACCATCATCATCTCTTTCTAGGTTCATCGTTAGAGCCCACTGACTGGTCTTTATTTTTCACTCTGGCAAGGTCTCCCCACCACAATTTATTTCTTAAATTACATGAAACATTTTAAAAACAGAAACCAAAGTCATGGTGTATCCCTTACCCATTTAAAATATTTCTTTGGCTGCCCATTGATCTGCAGACAAAGACCCAAATCATAGCAAGACCAAGATGTTTGATGGGCTGGTCATTGGCTACTTTTCCAGCCTTGAGCCAGGGTTGTTTGTTTGTTTGTGTTGTTTTTTAATTATATATTTCTGCAGCCACTCTGGTATTTTCCTTCTTTGTGAACCATGCTCTCTCCTGTCACAAAGCTTTCACATGTCTGACTCAACCTGCACACTTGCCGACCAGACCTCACCTCATGAATTCATGCCGCCTCTTAAATCTGCCTCTCACTCAAGGCAGCCTAGGCCTTGTGCCATGCAATGCATCCTTTTGAACAATAATCTTTCTCACAATCCCAACTTGTAACTGTTTATTAGTGGGTTTTTTGATATTTAAAAGAGAATACATTCAAAATTTATTTTTCTTTTTAATTTTGATTAGTTTGAATGGATTCGATGTGATTTACTGATATGATTTGGTGAGTTTTTAAAATAGACTGCTTTCTCTCCTTAACTCCATGAAAGAATGAGTTGAGTTCCCTTTTGCTCACAGTCATGCCTACATCAGTTCAGTGCATAGAATACAGGAGGCATTTAACAATTTTTTTTAAATAAGTGAAACTCAGTCTAGGGGAATCATTGTTGCCCCGTTTTAATGTTGGCTGCATGGTGATGGCAGTGGACAAGGAATCTGGAGGAACCAGAGAAGATAAAGCAATATAGAGGTTATTCAGGTCTGTTCCAACATTTTCTGAGTGGAGTTTGTGCTGGTTTCAGTGGTCTCTGACTTCTCTGTGTTGTGCTAGGAACCCCAGCCACCATGACCTTCATGGGGTGAGTCACAGACCAGTAATGCTGGTGGCTTTATATGAAATTTCCCCATTGGGTCTTTTGGAACCTATTTTGCAAAACCTGGACTCCTCCTCCCAGACTGTAAGATGCCCCAGAAGTTTAGTGAATGCTCCCTAACCTTGGAGAAGCCGCCGTTGTCCTCAGTTTTACCTACCTGTGCTTTTGTGCCATCATTCCCTTTGCACCAAGCCCTGTGTCTTCTTCCTCGAGTCCCATCTGCTGTCAACTCTTGCCAGAGAAATCAGGCTCAGTAGGGTCATGCCCTTTAAGCTGTTTCTTGCAATTCGCTTTCTCCATTACTCCTTACCCTTAAACAGGTGAAACACACACACACACACACAGCACAAAGCGAACTGAAAAAATTCTTTGCCAATCTATGTTTCTGTGTATATTTATAGTTCTGTGCCATCTTATACGTGTACACTTCTGCGAATGACTTCGTAGCTCTTCCAAGTAAATTGTCTGTATAACATATCAGGTTCCCATATTATAGTGTACTTTACAGAGAATACATATAAATTTTTATAGACATCTTTAAAAACTTGATCTTTTTTTAAACATATTTAGGTTGCCCTGAAGACAAAAGTATCCAGTAACCCCAATTTTTATTTTAAAACTTTTATTACATACAAAGGTAGATAGCATATGCCATTATTTTGTGCAACTAAAGCAAGGCTCAGAAGGATGAAGTCATTTTAAAATAAGTCAACAGAGAACCCAAAATTCTGCCTCTTGCAAATTAGTTTTTCCCTTCTCTCTTCTCACTTTTAAGTCGAAAAGATGACTTCTGAAAGCTTGTTAATGTATTATTCACAAAAGCAACCCAAAAAAGAGTTGTTTGGTGTATCTTCTCGAGTCCAAAGTTACACTTCTTTACATCTAAGAAATGAAACAGTGGGTAGAAATCTTGTAAACAAGCATAAGAAAATATGTCATTATTAGTCTGAGGATTTAATTTTCTAGGGATGTTATATGCATATCTTCCTACAACCATGATTTAATAATGCATCAGGTATAAACTATTTCCTCTTGTCATAAGTTCAAGTATTGAGGATTATCATCAAATAATATAGAAACTAAAATATATCATCCTATACAGCTATTTTTTTAAAGATTCATTTATTTATTTGAAAGGCAGAGTTACAGAGAGGCAGAGGTGAGAAGGGAGAGAGAGAGAGAGCGAGCTTCCATCCGTGGATTCACTCCCCATATGGCTGCTACAGCCAGAGCTGTGCTGATCCAAAGCCAGGGGCCAGGAGCTTCCTCCAGGTTTCCCATGCAGGTACAGGGGCCCAAGGACTTGGGCCATCCTCTACTGCTTTCCCAGGCCACAACAGAGAGCTGGATCAGAAGTCAAGCAGCTGGGACCTGAACCGGAACCCATATGGGATGCCGGCACTGCAGGCAGTGTTACGCCACAGGGTCGGCCCCAACTATACAGCTATTTTTATTGTGATTTATTTGAGTATGTATTGAATTAAAGTAATTTTAAATAAAAGTCTGTGCATAAAAGATTTTAGCTGCATAGTTGAATGTGTACCCTTTTTATAAAACTTCTGAGAAACTTAGAATTTAAAACCTGTGAAGGGGCCAGCACTGTGGTGTATCAGTAAAGCCACCGCATGGAAGCCCACATTCCATATGGATGCCAGTTCATGTCCCCGCTGCTCAACTTCCCATCCAACTCACAGCCTTGGAAAAGCAGCAGATGATGGCTTAAGGATCTAGGACCCTGTCACGCACATGGGAGATCCAGATGAAGCTCCTGGCTTTGGCTTGGCCTATCCTAGTCACTGTGACTGTCTAAGGAATGAACCAGTAGATGGAAGTGATCTCTCTCTCTCTCTCCCTCTCTCTCTGTAATGGTGACTTTCAAAATAAACAAATGAAAATCTTAAAAAAAAATACTAGTAAAACAGAAGTTGATTTTCAGTCATATCTATAGGAAAATATTATTTTAAACTAATGATGTATTTTATTTTTTAAAATTTTTGATTAACACGTGGTGCATTTTAGAGTTTAGGAGATGCAGCCCAGAATTTCAACATATATACCCGGTATGCAATGATCAAATCAGGCAATTAGTTTCTCTATCTCCTTATCTCTATATTTGGAGCCTGCCACCTCCTCTCTTCCAGTTCTTCATCCAAAATCTAATGCATTCTTTTTTTTTTTTTTTTTTGAGGTGGTTTTTTTTTTGTTTTGTTTTGTTTTTGTTTTTTGTTTTTTTGTTTTTTGTTTTTTTTTGACAGGCAGAGTGGACAGTGAGAAAGAGAGACAGAGAAAAAGGTCTTCCTTTTGCCGTTGGTTCACCCTCCAATGGCCGCCGTGGCCGGCGCACCGCGCTGATCCGATGGCAGGAGCCAGGTACTTATCCTGGTCTCCCATGGGGTGCAGGGCCTAAGTACTTGGGCCATCCTCCACTGCACTCTCAGGCCACAGCAGAGAGCTGGCCTGGAAGAGGGGCAACCGGGACAGAATCTGGCGCCCCGACCAGGACTAGAACCCGGTGTGCCGGCGCCGCAAGGCGGAGGATTAGCCTAGTGAGCTGCGGCACCGGCTCTAATGCATTCTTACAAACCACACTCACCCCTCTGCACTGTGGAACCTAGAACTTTTACTTCTGTTTGATTTTGCTTTGGGAACCATGACACGACCTTGCTCTATCCGTGCTGCCCATACTCATCCAAGTTTTTCATGATCACTATTTTAATTTCAGATGCTTATTTGTCTCAAGCTTCCACATATGCCAGAACATATCTTCTGATGTCTGGCTTCTTCCATGAAACACAGGGATCTCCCATTCATCCACCTTGCTGCCAAAGTCAGCATTTCATTTTTTCTATAGCTGAGTAATGTTTCATAAGCATCTCATTTCCTTTATCCATTTATCTGTTGATTTTGCTTAGGTTAGTTCCATACCTTGGCTATTGTGAATAGTGATGCAATGAACAGGGAACTGTTTGTATATTTTTGATATGCCTATTTTTTCATATTTTTACCCAGAAAAGGGATAGTTGGTTATATGCTAGGCTATCTCTAGTCATTTGACAAACCACCATATTGTTCTCCATAATGGCTGTATTCTTGCATAACCAACAGTGTTTAAGGTGCTCTTTTTTTTTTAAGATTTATGTATTTATTTGAAAGTCATAGTTACAGATAAAGAGAGGGAGGGAGGCACAGAGAGATAAATAGAGATCTTCCATCCACTGGTTCACTGCCCCAGATGGCTGCAATGGCCAGGTCTCTTATGTGGGTGGCAGGGTTCCATGCACTCAGGCCAACTTCCACTGACTCTCTCAGTCCAGTAGCAGGGAGCTGGCTCAAAAATGGAGCAGCTGGGACTTGAGCCATTGCTCATATGGGGTGGTGTCAGGCGACAGCTTAACCTGCTACACCCTGGCTAACATTCCCTTTTCTCTGCATACTGCCCAGCATTTACTTCTTGTCTTTTTGATAATAGCTAGTATCAAACCGGGGTGTGCTGTTACCCGATTATGATTTTGATTTGCAGCTCCCTGATGGCAAGTGATTTTGAGCTTTTTTCCACACATATCTCCTTTTGAGAAATGTCTATTCAGATCCTTTAACTGGATCATTTGTTTTATTGTCAGTTTGTTGTGACTTTTTAAAAAAGATTTATTTGAGAGAGAGAGAGATAGAGACAGAGAGGTCTTGCATCCACTGATTCACTCCCCAAATGGCCACAATGGTTGGAGTTGGGCCGATGCAAAGCCAGGAGCCAAGAAGAAGTTCCAGGTCTCCCGTGTGTGTGCATTTTAGCAGGAAGCTGGATAGGAAGTGGAGCAGCTGGGACTGGAACTGGTGCTCATATGGGATGCTGGCATTGCGGGCGGAGGCTTAGCCCACTTTGCCACACGCTGGCCCCTTTACTCCTCTCTTGAAGACACAGAACAGCCAGACAACTTCCCCATGCTCCTTCTCAGTCAGCCTTGTTTCTCAGAGACAGGTGCCCTTCTAGGTTTCAGCAGTGACTAGCTCTGTCTGTTCTAGAAGCTCACATAAATGGAATCCTGCAGACACTGGAATCCCGCTCTTTTGTGTCATGCCTCTTATCTCAGTATCTTTGTAAGATCCAACCTGACAGCTACATGTGTCAATAGTTTGTTCCTTTCACGGCCTAGCAACACCCCATTTGTTGAATATATCACAATTCTTTATCCATCTCCATGCATCAATGCTCTGAGTCTCTCCAGTATTGGGTTTAATAATAAGATATCCTGAGTGTTCCTATGCAAGACTTTTACACGCAGTCATTCCAGCGAGTACGTAATAATGTCTTATTGTGATTTAATTTTCACTTCCATGATGTAAGCTAATGATGTTGAGCATTTCATTTTCTCATGAAAATGCTTTTGAAGTGTTTCCATAAAACTTTGCCAATTCTTTGCTTATTTTGTTTTGAGGTATAGGAGTTCTTTATATATCTTAGATACCAAGTACTTCTTTTTTATTGGATTATTTGTTTTTTTTTTATTTTTTTATTTTTTTTTATTTATTTTTGACAGGCAGAGTGGACAGTGAGAGAGAGAGACAGAGAGAAAGGTCTTCCTTTGCCGTTGGTTCACCCTCCAATGGCGCTGCGGCCAGCGCACCGCGATGATCCGATGGCAGGAGCCAGGAGCCAGGTGCTTTTCCTGGTCTCCCATGGGGTGCAGGGCCCAAGCACCTGGGCCATCCTCCACTGCACTCCCTGGCCACAGCAGAGAGCTGGCCTGGAAGAGGGGCAACCGGGACAGAATCCGGCGCCCCAACCGGGACTAGAACCTGGTGTACCGGCGCCGCTAGGCGGAGGATTAGCCTATTGAGCCGCGGCGCCGGCCGGATTATTTGTTTTTATTGACACACAATAATTATACATATTGATGGGGTACAATGTTGTACATTTTAAAATATCTGTTTCACAAGAATATTCTCCTAGTCATATATATGTAATATTATATAATTATATATATTATGTATATGAATGATGCCTTTTCATAATCAGAAGTTTTAAATTTTTACTAAATCCAATTTGTCATTTTTATTGTGCTTGCAATATCAAATCTAAAATCTCTTTAATGTATCCTAGTTCAGAAGGTTATTCTAAGATTTATTCTAAAAACATAGTAATTCAACATTTAAATCTATGTATGATCCATTTTCAGTTGATTTTTGTACAAAATATGAGATTTACATTAAGATTCTTTTTTGCATATGGCATCGAATTGTTCCAACACCATAGTTTCAAAGACCATTCTTTCTCCATGGGTTTTCCTTTGAAACTTAATTAGAAGTCAGTTGACCGTATTTATGAAGGCTTATTTTTAGAATCTCCATTGTTCCATGATCTAAGTGTCTATCCCTTCATCAACATCACCATGATTTGACTATATGGTAAGTCTTTTTTAAAGATTTATTTATTTGAAATTCAGAGTTACACAGAGAGAGAAGGAGAGGCAGAGCAAGAGAGAGAGGTCTTCCATCTGCTGGTTGACTCCCCAGTTGGCCGCATTGGCAGAAGTCAGGAGCCAGGCGACAGCAGCTTCTTTCTGGTCTCCCACACGGGTGCAGGGGCCCAAGGACTGGAGCCATCTTCCTCCACTGCTTTCCCAGGCCTGCCTATGGTAAGTCTTAAAAATAAAACAGCTCTGGGGCCAGCATTGTGGCGTAGCTGGTGCCGATATCACAGACAGGTGCTGGTTTGCGTCCTGGCTGATCCTCTTCAGATCCAGTTCCCTGCTAATGGCCTGGGAAAGCAGTAGAGGGTGGCCCAAGTGCTTGGGCCCCTGCACCTATGTGGGAGTCCAGGATAAACCTCCTGGCTCCTAGTTTGGGATCAGCACAGCTCCGGCAGTTGCAGCCATTTGGGGAGT